TCCAGGGGCTGGGAGGAGGATGAAATGGGGAGTTATTGTTCAATATATATGAAGTTTCAATTATGCAAGAAAAGTATGTTCTAGAGATTGGCTGTACAACATCATGCCTATGGTTAATGATACTGTACACTTACAAATTTGTTAAAAGGACAGGTCCTATGGTAAATGTTCTTACTGCCATAAATAACAACAAAAACTTAATAATTACGAATTTCTTAAAAAGTAAGTAGAGATACATCAAGAATGGATGGGGCCACTTGTATGACTTTGGAATTTGATCTTTTCTGTGCTATGGCAAGGGTGGAGTTTGGGGGACGAAGAGGTTTTAGACCTTTGGATGTATCATGGGGTTTCTATTTTAGGATAATTCAATCTAGTGGTAGGAGTTAAGATGGAGTGTGGATGGGGGTTGACAGGACTCAGAAATAATACCACTGACATGGGTTGCTACTTAGAATAATGTAGATATTTTAAAGCCTTTTCAATCTCATAGAGGCTTTCCCTCTCCACTGATGGGTGTGTTCTTGTACATTTAGGGTGGGGTATGTGTGTGTTTAAAAAACATCTCTTTCTTAATGCATTGATTTGTAGGTACTCAGTTTTTGCTGCCAGAAATGGAATCCATTCATTTCACACTCTAGCTGTCACTAGTATTTAAGAATTTAACTGCAATGCTTGGGGTTTCCTTAGATTCTACAACAAAAAGAGCTTAATTTGTTTTAGTATTTACTTTTATCCTATTTTCTAGTGTCATAATTTTATTACTCATAAGCATTGATAAATCAATGTCTTCTGTTATAATTTTCACCTCTCTCTCTCTCTCTCTTTCTCTCTCTCTCTCTCCTCTTTTGATGTAATGCTCTGAGCATGGTGCCTAGCACTTATCTCTCAAAAAATAATACTTCATTCTTATCTTCCCTATCTCTTTTTCAGTGTTTGGAAAAATTGTCCAGTAAATATGCCAAAGTAAGGTAGTTTTATTTTTAAGTAATTATTTACTTTTTGTATTGTTTTAAATCTCTTTTTCTTTTCCTATAACCTAGAACTCTCTCAACATTCTCTTTCATTTAAAAACATTTACAGAACACTTATTATATAGGTAACTGAAACATGAACAGGGCCTACCCTCCATCCCACTGAAGGTCTCAATTTCCTAGGAGATTTGGACACTGGTTTAAATCATTGAAGACTGAATAAAATAACAAATGTTATATAAACACAAGTAAATTGCTGGGTTTCTTAGTTTTTTATTCCAGATTTTATTAACATATTTCTCAGTGTTTGATAAATTGTTTATATTCAAATGCATAAATTTCACTATTTTTTCCAAAGCACTCTTAATATTACTGCTATTTTATCAAAAATTTATTTTATTTTATCTTTTCCTTGTTTTATTTGTGATTTTGTGTTGTTGTCTTCCTTCTCTCTTCTAATGGCTTTAAATATTTATTTAGTATGTATTTTAGTTTGACGGTGAGTTTATTGTGTTAGCATTTCCTTAGTAATAGTAATAGCATAAATTAATATTCTTTTTGCTGGGTGCTTACTCATTTAATACTACTACTTTGTATTGTGTGCTTGTTTTTTTCTTTGTAAACATATCTTTGTAGGCTACAATTTATTGTGTTTTATTTTGAAATTTAGAGGAGATCTTTTTTAATAGAAACCACTAGGATGTCCACAATAAATGGTTATTTCTGACACATGTTGGATTTTCCTTTTTATCTGACAAGTTTACTGTTGCTATTTCTAGAGTTCTGTTATGTTCTATTATGTATCTTATGTGTAATAGATGCTTTTAAACTCTTCCTCTTTTAAACTCATTTGAAAGATAACTGTAACTCATCTAATTTTCCTTATCCTTTAACATATTAACATTAATATGGGTTTTTAGGGTCAGTTGCAGTGGCTCATGCCTGTAATTCCAGCACTTTGGGAGGCTGAGGTGGGCAGATCACCTGAGGTCAGGAGCTCGAGACTAGCCTGGCCAATGTGGTGAAACCCTGTTTCTACTAAAAATACAAAAAAAAAAAAAAAAAAAAAAAAAAAAAAAAAAATTAGCTGGGCATGGTGGTGGGTGCCTGTAGTCTCAGCTACTTGGGAGGCTGAAGCAGGAGAATTGCTTGAACCCAGGAGGCAGAAGTTGCAGTGAGGAGAGATTGTGCCACTGCACTCCAGCCTGGGTAACAGAGCAAGGCTCCATCTCAAAAAACAGAACAAAACAAAACAAAGAAACATGGGGTTTTAGGACTCTTCATATTTTCCCTCCTAAGGTTTTCTGTTTTAAAATTAGCAGAGTACTTCTACTCTTTGAGGAACAGGAATCTAGGCAGCCTCTTGGCCTACCCTCTGTTAGCAGATGATGTCAATTTTAGCAAATCTGGCTACAGGTGTTCTTAGGTCCTTCCAACAACCTTAATGGACACGCCGGCTCCAGATCAACGGAAAATGGGGTTCGAAAATGGGGCTCAGTCAATGATAATTTAAACTGTTTTCCAGCTGTTCTATTTAACACCTAGAGGACATGTTAATATCACTTCCATTCTGAGTTCCTTTTCAAGGTCAGTGTCATCTGCAGCATTGAATTTCACATTAGCCGTATACTTTCACCCATAGACACAGTCCACGTGAAGGAATTCTGGAGAGACAACTGCCTGGCAGCAAAACGGACTGTGCCCTAATTTTACAAAAACTTCTTAGAGGTTACAGAGGTGAGAGAGAGAGAAAAAAAAGTATGTGTTGCTAGCATGAAGGTTGGTCTAAATGTGAAGTAGCCTTGACATCTGGCAATTTGCAAAGATTTTGTACATTACAGGTACCGTAGTTCAAGGCTGGTCATAGGACCAGTGGACCAAGAAACAGGGATATGGTTTGGGGGGGCAAGGTAGATGCTCTCTAAGAGCAGTCAACTGTTATCAATTTTTTGAAAAGATCAACATCTAAGAGTAAGGCTAGGACAGTACATTTAAGAGTTAACCATGACTTTTCTCAAAAAACGTGACAAAAAAACAAGTCTGAGAAAGTACCTTTTTGTTCTCTTTGTGGTTTGGAGCTAAGAAGTGTAAATGGGTGGAGGTACGCTTGAGGTTTACATCTTCTTTTGTTTTTGCATAAAGATTTTAGTTCTTTATACTCTTGGGCACCTTTTGCTTACATGCATCCAGCTCAGCTTTGCCCTGCATGGACAGCAAACCACAGCACATGAAAAGTGCCACCAAAAACAAAGTGAGGCTAATGTCACAGATATCACGAATTCCCCAAAACCTAAAAGGGATGCTTACATTTTCCTTGTCCTTTAGTCTAAAAGGTAGCTTTAGCCCAGAAGTTAATGGGACAAGTTATCTTGTCATGTCTATGAATAACAGAATAAAGTCCACAACAGAGTTTTGAAAAACTGTGTAGATACAAAAAATAATAATAACCTCAGGACTATTTGCACAAAAGGGCAAACTACTGGTGTGTCAGCAGCTGTATTTCCTAATGTTGCACTGTGCCTACAGTTCTAACTTGTAACTACTAAACAGGAAGGTATTTTTTCCTTTCTCTCAGTTCACTCACCTCCTGTAATTTATCTTACATTGATAGTGAGCAATTACAATCTCCGCAAAAATAAAATGATAGGCCCGTTAAATGTGTTTTATATAACCACAACAGAAGGAAGAATCCCTAGCTTCCCCAAGACCAAATATAATTTTATTCCAAGCTTCTCAAACTACCTGTGGGAAAAGGATAATTTTATCTTTTTTAATTTCTAATGCTGATTGTTTCATAAAATAGAATAAAAATCAATTACTACAAAAATTATTAAAAAGGCATAAAATGCAGCTTTTTTTTTAATCATTAGATTCAACAGACCTGAAATTTCTTTGCCAAACATCTATAAAAGTTTCTAAAGACTTACTCTCAATTTCAGTACTCATCTTGTCAGAGATAAACATTTGCAGACCTGCATTGGCCTGTTGATGGCCTTGGAATATAACCTTTCTACAGTTAAATATTCTGAGTGAATATTGTGACTAATATTTTTTTGAATGCACATTAATTGAAATCTATGTATGTATGTATGTATGTATGTATCTATCTATCTATCTATCTATCTATCTATCTATCTGTCTATCTATCCATCCACCCACCTGTTTATCGTCTATCTATGATTTACCCATCCGTCATCATCTATCTTTACTTTGTATATTATTGCTTCCTCAGTTTGAGGTCATATGCTTAAATGCTATTTTATTCTATTTTCTTTTCTAAATTTGTTTACTTGTGGCTACAAAAACATCTCTCACTAATGGATCCCAAACCAATTGCAAGAAAGCTGGGAAGAATGTGTGTGCTCTCTCTCTCTCTGTGTGTGTGTGTGTGTGTGTGTGTGTGTGTGATGTTGGTTATTTCTATAACAATTTACTGCAAAGTGTTAAGAACTTGTGGGAGAGTAGTCACTTGGCTCTGGTTAGTGAATGTTCTTTTTATGTTTTCTGACTGCAGATTTTTAAGTAAATAATAAAAGTCACATTAAAAAATGAATCTGTTTATATTTTAGGCTTCGTTTCCTTTGTTTCTTAATATTAATCTTAAGGGTAATGTTTTGATGGCAGAAATACTTTTGGATATTCTTTGGTTATACCTCAAGGTTTTCACAATGAATAGCTTAACTGAACAATCTTTTTTCTTTTTTTTAGACATTTTACTGCTGTTGATTTTTTCATCATGGCGTTCATTTTTCAAAATTATGTTCTGCTTAGTTTGAATCTTAAATTATTTGTTACTTCTCATTTTTAAAGGTGAAGGACTTAGTTAACAATCTTTTTCAGTCCCTATGTCTTAATTCTGTTTTCTATGACCTGCAGAGACCAAAATTAGCATATCTGAGACCTACCACTCATTGTAATTGCTTTATCCTAGATTTGTGTTGATTTTCATCTAAACCCTTATCTTCTGAAAGTCTAAAAGGCAAAGTCTGAAGCTATTCATCTTCTTGTATCTTTAATATTACTTACCTTCCTCCTGGACTCACGTAAGATTATCCTTGCATTTGGAGGGAAGGGAAAAGTATTTTTCTGTCTACTCTCTTCTAGATTCTCAGTTGAAGCTCTGCAGCAAAAGATAGACTAATGAGCAAAGAACGAACAGAAGTTTACTAATGTGTATATCTCATATGTACATGAGAGAAACTCAGGGATAAGTAACTTAAAGGTTTGGTTAGAACTTGGACTTACATAGCAAAGGAACAATAAATTTTTAGAGAAGTGACAAGATAGAGGAAAGGGACCTTTAACCTCTAGGAATAGTAAATTGTGGAAATGCAAATATATGAAAAGCTAGTGGTAGACGAAGTGTAGTTGGGAAAGTTTATTCTGCAGATCCTTCTGGTACCATCCCATCTCCAGGCTGACAAGGATCTAAAGTTGTCTCTATCTAAAGGTGATTAACTTTCGTCTTTCCTGATACAGAGGTGAAGAGGTGCACTTCTGCAAATTTACTTCCTAATTTTAGGAAAACAGGTGGAGGGCAGAGCACTTCTTTTTCTTCTTCTTCTTTTTTTTTTTTTGGTATCTATATCTTCACAATTTTTTTACTCAAAATTATTATTATGCCAAAGTGGCATTTTTGCTACCCATGACATTTAAGGTCATAAAACTTGAAAATTAGAGGAAAATTTTTCTCTTCCAATATTGTTTCTAAGAATAAAATCAACGGCAAATTAAAATTAATGTCTATATGAGATTTCATATCTGGGATTTTAAAAGTAATGTGCAGTGACAAATCACATCTCTAGTTACACAAAAATAAATGCAGATCATGGAATAAAAACAAGAGCTAAAGAGTAAAGAGGAAAAGGAGATAAAAACACGTATGACAGTCTCTTCTGAAACAGCACCTGGGTTTGAGAAGAAAATTAAGTTGCTTTCTTGTATAGCACGGTAACTAAGACCATGGACTCTGGAGCCAGATATCTATGTTCAAATCTATCTGACACCATTAATGTAATTGTGATTGGGGTCAAATAACCTCCTTAAGTCTGAAATAAGTGGGGATAAAAGGAATACCTTTCTTATGGTATCACGAGGAATAAATGATTTAATATATTTAAAGCATTTAGCATAGTGGCCGAGTATATCAAGATGTATCAAGATGTATCAAGAATAGGTATCAAGATGAATGTGACATACTTTATGTTCTTTGAGAGCTATCAGTAACTCCTATAAGCAAAATATAAAGCAGTGAATGTTAAATGCTTGAAGATGGACAAATGATGGACAGATAGATGAGCACAGCAGTGTGGGCATTAGAGTATCAATTCAATAAATAAAGAAACTGAGACCCAAAGAGTTTGTGATCTCTTGGTTAGCAAGATCACAGGCTGAGAATACAACTTCTTTTGCCGTCTCCAAGGAGAGAACCAAGGAAGGAGGCTTTTTGTCCTCTGTGCAGCATAAGCTCAATTTCTTTACTTACTAGCTGCGTGGTCTTTGGGGAGTTGTTCAGCTGCCCTGAGCCTTAATTTCTGTATCTATGAAACAGAGACGATAGCAGTACTTACCTCTGAAAATCGCTGTGAGTATTAAATAAGATGATGTGTATAAAGGGCTGTGCAGAGTGCCTGGTTTACAGCAAGCATTCAATAGATTTTAACCTCTATTAATAGTAACATTTTATTTCATCTCAATACTATTTGTGGAGAGTAGATTAGATACCTAGAGATACATAGTCAAGATTAGTACTATTTTTGTATCAAAGTTTTGCTTCTGAATAGAAAATACAAGACAGGAGCAATCAGAAATAATAAATACATAAATGCTACAATTACAAGGCAAAGTCTTCCCAGAAGAAGTAATTAATTGCAAAACGAAGTGACATGAGTTTTCCTCCTTTCCCTTTAAGCTCCCACAAGAGGCTATAAGATGCCTCAAAATATTCCAATGTGTGTGCTTCAGAAAAAAAGAGAAGAAAAAAATCTCTGGACAATGCAGTTTATATAAAGTCCGTTGGGCAATTCCTGGCACTCAAAAGGTGTTCAATATAGGTTGAATTGCCTCTTTATGTAAATGTTTCTATGCCTTCTCCACAAATATCCAATATCCCCAAAGTATGTTTGTCAACCTCCAGGTCTGAATAATGCCAAAAAAGAAAAAAAAAAAAAAGAACAAAAAACCCCCTGTCCTTTGTAGGGGAAAGTCATGGCATTCATTTGCACATAATTTGGATTAATAATAAAGCATCTAGAAATATATGCTTTTAAGGGCTGGTTTTAAAATGTAATATGGCTAAGCCTCTGAAAGTTGTCATTTTTTATTTTATTTTTTTGAAAGATGATTGTGGCCTGAATGATAATCAGTGTCACTGACAACCAAATAAGTTAGAGAACTCTTGGAAGCAAGACTTATGATGAGAAAAATCACAAGTAGTTCTAAGGTGCAGAGATGCTATTCTGTGAGCTGTTCAGTTGCTAATTCAACGTGAGTTCCCTGAGGCCTGGGGACACACAGCAACCTGTGTCGGGCTCTGGAGGCAGCCCGTGAAGGGTGGGGTAGAACCCTGTTCAGGTGCCCAGGTTCCCGTCAAAAAGACAACACATACACTCACAAGTCAACCAAATTACATTGTCCAAGGTCAACAAAAATTCTGTAATGAGGAATTACAATGCAGAATGAGATTCAGGCCAGATGAGAGGCATAAGCAGTAACTTCTTTGAGTTATGGGGACAAGAAGGCACTGAGGAATGCAAGGACCGGGGGAGGTTTTATGGAAGAGGTGAGATCTTGAGCTGAAACTCAGTGGATGCTCAGCAGCAGCAGATGCATGAAAGAGCTGAGTTGCCAGGACCATGAGAATAGTCTGCTATATAAGGTGAGCACACAAAATAATGTTCTGCACTTGGGAAACCTACTGGGGCATCTCTTAGAATTATCATGCTCTGGCTTGATAAAATGTGGTAACTAGGGACCTAGACTCCTCAGGGAGGGTGATTTTAGTAGCCCCTCCAGGAAGGTCACCTACACTGACAGAGGCACTAGCCAAAGCTTCACAAGGAATCTAAAACAGTGTCAGAGAAGGGGGATGATGACCATCACTTATGGCCTCAAGTCTAAATGCTACAACAGATTACTTTATTCCACTAACTTTTCTGTTTATAAATTTTCTCCCAGAAATTGTGACTAACGAGAAAATGTAAGAATCTGTGACAGATGCGTCAAACTTAACGTGCCCCACCTAGAGCATTTCAGGGCAGTGTTTCCAATGCTTGATTGTCTATTGGGAATAGAATAACCCAGCTCCTTTGTCTTAAGTCATGACCACCCTAGGGTATATTTTATACTTCAGAGCCTTCTGTAGAACAGGCTGCAGTTGGAGCTTCCTGAGAAATCACACGTCAGCTTGGCTTCTTCCCTTCCCTCTCCTGCTTCCTGCCTACCTTCTTGTAAGAGAACATCCTTAATACATCATTTATACTGGGATCCCTGCATCAGGATCTGCTTCTGGACCTACAAGAAACATGCATTGGATGTGGATTGAGCAAAAGTTTAAAGGACAGAATCAGCACATTTAATTTGCTTGAGGTAACTGTTCTCATTTAGGTAGAAAAGGAGTGAATGAACATTCTGAGAACGAGTTTGGAAATCCAGTTATTGGATGGTGTATTGCAGAAACTTAATGAAACTAAATAAATTCATAATTATTTTTTGCCTGCCTATCAGCTGAGACAGCTTATTACACATGCAACAGCTTAGATTTAACTGAAATGTAATAGAGTTTGTGTTCTTTGTGCTACAAGAACCCATGACTTTCTACCTAAGGGTGCCCTCTGCCATGATAATATGCTTGACCTGATGTCAGGTGGGCTGAAATGCAGGGAATTAATACCCTCAGGACAGCTGTCAACTAATAGCTAATGGGAATTGTTAAATTAAGTATTTCAGATGTCTTACTGCTCAGGTGAGTCATCTCTGAGGCTGTTCTGCTCCATCTCCTGGAGACTGAGACCTTGTTTCCTACAATGACATTCCCCTTTAGCTTCTTTTTCTTGCCTCTCTCATTCTCCAGCCCCCTACTGATGTTTCTTGGGATCCCATTTCAAATCTATTTGCAATAATCCTGTGTCAGGGTCTACCTCTGGGGGAACCCAAATTAAACCATGCAGTTTCCACCTCAGAGCTTTCCTACTCCTTTGAGTGCCCTCTCCTGAGATACAGCATCTATAAGAGGCAATTTACCTATGGCACTACTCTGTAGTTTTGGGGTGTGCTTCTTCTGAAGTTATTCTACACTTTGTAACTCATATTTATGAATATTGTTAGTAAGGATGCATACTTTTGTTTTTTAAATTGTGACTATGATCTTAACAATCTTGAGTGATATTGCAGACAATACATTTGGGATAAAGAAAACCAAGACTCATATTAAGGAAATCATAAACCATCCCAGAAGTGGTGTACAGCTGTTCTGCAAGTCACCAATTCAGGCAGTATCTATCAAGTCTTGGGCATGCTTAGGGTACTGTGTGAGAACCAATAGAGTTGTGAGTGTGGATGTGACTTTGAGGAATACGTCCCATAGTCATGAAAGCAAAGAGGATGTTCACATTGGTTAATTAAAAAGGAATGAAACTGATTTCAGTACGTGGCTTGCTCAGAAGATGTCCCAAGAATTAGCTTTTAAGGAGGAATTCTCTCCTGGGTTTCAGTTAAAAAAGTCAATCCTGAAATAAGTGAATATCCAGACCCCCAGAGTGGCTGGTTACCACGTTCTAACATTCATTAGGTTTCATGAGATGTAACACAATTGATTAACATAAATCATTCTATTTCATATTCTACCTCTTAGAGTCTTCAGTTTTTGCTAATTGCTTGATGTGAGTTTGTCTTGTTTCTACAGGATTTGAGATGTGTTCTGTAAATCCAGTGTATTGTACAATTTTAAACATATATGGTGACTTCACCCACTTTTTAATTTCGCAAGAGTTTATTAAGTACTTATAGTGCTCTAGGCACTGCCTTCTGAGAACAGATGCCCACTCACTACTGCAACCCTATGTCTCCCCTTGCCATGAAAAAACAACAGAGAACACATGGTTTTGACCTGTAGGGAGCTCCTGGTCTAGCTGCAGAGACAGAAAAAGAAGGAGGAACTTGTTAAACAGTGTGGTAAGTGTTGTGACTGGAAAGGGTAGGGAATAGAGGAATTTCAACCAGACTCAGCTTCAAGGTGGTAGGGAAGGCTGGGGGCTGAAGTTGGGACCTGGGATAAATTCAGAAGAGGTATCCTCCAAATTCTTATATATATACATTGGGACTTAGCCAGTTGGAGGGAGGGCATTGGAGGTGAAAGGAAAGGCGCAAGCAAAGTCCTAGACATGGAGAAGCTCAGGGGGTGTAAGAAAGCAACTGGAGGTTCTGCAGAGCTGGAATGTAGAGTTGGGTAAGGGCTGGCAAGAAAAGGGGGTGACCTGGAACATGAAGGGCTTGAATATTGTGTTATGTAGCATAGGCTTTCCTTGAAGGGTAATAGGGAGAGGCAAAAAAATTTTGAACAGGTTGGTAACAAAATCAGATTTTCACTTTTTTTCATTCTGGCTTCTCTGTGGAAACTAAATTGTGAGAAAAAAGAGTGGAAGGAAGGCGGCCATTTTGGAAGGTAGTACAGTAGCCTTGGAGGGATGAGGTGACACACTGATTGAGTCAGCGTGAGTGCAAATAGAGAGGTGTAGAAATGGGTGTTCACAGGGCAAGAAAGGCTATGTATAAGAAGGTGGGGTGGGGTGGGGCAGGCAGGCATGGGAAGGAAGTGCATCACATGCAAGTAAGTGAGCTAGGCTGCAAGGAGGTATGCCTCAGCCTCTTAGCCTTACTTGGGGTGGGGGGTGGGGGTGGGAACGACCACAGCCTCCTTCCTGTTTCTGGTTTTCCTGTCTAATGTTATCTCTGTGTGAAACTCTTCTAGAAGATCTTTGGTCAAGTGTGACAAGACCTACCACAAACTGTACCCTTTCATCTGCTGACAAAACCTGCTGACAAAGCAAAAAATCTACATCCTGTTCTTTGTCTCATAGCTGATTAGCTGAGATAATAACTCTGCTCTCCGAAGCTTACTAAGGAAAACCGCAACCACTACCGAGAAAAACATCTCCAAATGTTTTGGAAAGTTAGCAAACTGTGACGTCTGCAGTTTGCAAACTGAACAGTGTTAAACCACATCATTTGCATTTGTGTTTACCCCTCCCTATAAAAGCCAAACTGCCTAAGAGGTTGAGCCATTCCCATCATCTTCATATAAGAGTGGTTTCCCTATTGCAATAGCCTAAATAAAAGCAATCTTTTAACTTGTCTGTTTCTTTGACAGGATTGGTGCCATGACTCAAAATGGGACCATGTCTTCAGATCTCCATCTGCTCCACCCAGGTAATAAGGACACTTGGAGCCTTTATGCTCCATTTGTGACTAGCAATACGAGGACCTAAAGGTGAGCCCTATTCCTAATTCAGTGTTCCAGACTCTTGTCTGTTGGTAGCATGGTAGGAATTTAATTTTCATTGACTATGCAGTTGATCTCTAGTGCTGAATTTGTGTGTGTGTGTGTGTGTGTGTGGGGTCACTTGGTAATCTCTGTAAATGAATTAAATGGTTTGCAGATATTGTGTCTCTGTTAGGTCAGAAAGATGTCAGAAAATTGGGTTTGTGATTTTTGTTTGTTGTCTATTTTTTCTCTATTTTGAACTCAATCAGGAATTTCTACCCAGTGGGACAAAAAGATCCCTTTATATAGAAACAGGTGAGTTATGTATTTCTGTGTTATGCCTGACATATGAGATTTTAGAATTAAAATGATAAGTTTTCTAGATCGGTATGTATATTTATGTGTCTGTGGGTATGTAATATTTTCCTGCCTCCAGATGGTATTACTAAATTAGACTATCAAAAATTTTAAAGGTACTATTTTCTGATTGACTTAGAGCTTACTAAGGTCTTATATACATAAAATATTCAAAAATTTCTGGAAATTAAGATAATTGCATTTCTACTTTTAATATTCTTATATATACTAGCTCAAATATTCCAAGAATTTAAGTTCACATAATTTAGGTAAATTTTGGCAAATGAGACTAGCTTTATATTGTTGGTTTAATTAAAAGAGCTATGTCTTCTGAGTTCTCAGTATTAGGTATTACACAAGCACACAATTTAATCTACTTGGGCACATTCTTCCTCAGCTTATACAGGTTTCTTGGTTTAATAATCTATCATTTTAGTTACTATATATTTATAATTATAAAAATACAAATTTTCACTTAGTTAAATTGAATCACTGTTTTGACAAATGTTAATTCAAAAGTAACTAATTCCATTTTATAGTGTGTCATCCTGGCTTAAGACCAAGATCTTTTGATAACATAAAACTTTACACTGATGCCAAATTTGGTAAATTAATGGGCATTCATTAGATACCTAGATTATCTAACTAGAATAAAATACTGAAGCATTAATTACTAAGTATAATTTTCTGCTTATAGACTTTTTGCCTATTATTTTTTATATAATACGGACAGTCTATATATTTGGGTGTGTTAATGAACATGTTTATTTTTTTGCTACAGTGAGTTGTATTATAGGGATGTTTATTACGGCAAAAATTACGAGATGTATATTCCTAAGATGTTAGTCTGCTACGAAATAGTGTGTATGAAAATAGTTCACAATTATCCACTGAAAAAGACTCTTCCCTTGACCAAACTTGAGTCAGGCTCCTTGGAGCATTCTTCCTAAGTAGACTTTGACCTTGGTTTGCCCAGTCCAGTTTTAGCAAAGATTCCTGCTTAGTGAATTTATTAAGAATTTACTAATTCTTGATATTAGACCACTGGATATTTGATCAAGTTTCTCACTCTCCACTCTGGATATCTTAGTTTTAGAAAGTAGTTTTATTATTAATAGTTTTATTAATTAACAGTTTTATTATTAAAAATAATTTTATTAAGTCAGTTTAGCAAGAATCCCTCTACCTTGGATATCTAGTTAATTTTCCATCTGCTTACCACCTTTCTGTACTCCTTGGCTATAAATCCACAACTGTCTTTGCTGTATTAGAAGTTGAGCTCAGTTCCATACAGAAACCTCTCTCCCCTACTGCAGCCGTTTGAATAAGATCTATCTGGCAGTTTTAATACATATCCAGTAACTTTTCTTTTATACTACCTCCAAGGTTTCTCTATGCAATAGGAGTTACTGTAGTTAAAAGTTATAATCAAGGCTGGTCACGGTGACTCACGCCTGTAATCCCAGCACTTTGGGAGGCCAACAGGTGGATCACGAGGTCAGGAGTTTGAGACCAGCCTGACAAACATGGTGAAACCCCGTCTCTAATAAAAATACAAAAATTAACTGGGCGTGGTGGCGTATGCCTATAATCCCAGCTACTCAGGAGGCTGAGGCAGGATAACTGCTTGAACTCAGGAGGCGGAGGTTGAAGTGAGCTGAAATTCCTCCACTGCACTCCGCCTGGGTGATAGAGTGAGACTCTGTCTCAAAAAAACATTAAAAAAAAAAGTTATAACCAATATACATCAATGAGATGAACGAGACTCTAGTAGAAGTGACTGTGGCAGGAAGGAACATTTTGAGTGCAAGGTATGCAGGATATTTTTTTGTTAAGGAAAACAAGAGTAATTTTTTTCTGAAGTCAAATGAGTAGTTATTCCAGGATGAGAAATGGGAACGTGTAGGGCAAAACCCTGCAAAACCCTAGCTAGATAGAGAAAGTTGTAGGAGGTTCATGGATAGGAAATTTTATTTCTTGTAGTCACAGCTGGCTAAAGCTTAATGGGTTTATTTACAAAATTTTTAATATAAGCGTTAGTATCAAATATGCAGATGCAAAACTAGCATTTGTTTTATTCTCTATTAAAATATTTTATTTGGATTAGTGTATTCTCTTAATAAGAGTTTGTAAAATATTTTTCTTTACCTTCTGAGTAATCTGCTTAGAAGATAAACATTCAGAATCTCATCAGAATAATTTTCTGTGCTTTGTACTGACTTTCTCGAGTCCTTGATTGTTTAAGAGAACAGTCGTCATATAAAAGAGATGAAGTTCTTTGCAATTACGTTACCTCCTATATCTACTCTAAAATTATTTTACATCATTTGATTAAATAGATAACCAAGTACTATTTCTCAGTAATCCATTATCCTACTTAATTAAGTATTCAAATTTCCTGACAACGTTTTATATTTTACCTTCTGAAAATCAAATCCTAAATGGTATCTTTTTGCACTGTCAAGGAAAAAAAAATTTACAAATCTGAAGTTAAGTGAGGAAAACATTACTAAGGGAGAATCTTACAATAGAATGATGCTCAAGATCTAAGCCAGGAAAGTCTTAGGCATGGGGTGAGCAAACATAGCTATTATATGCAGAGACCTTGGGAGAGATGCTTATGGAAAGTGGAAGGGAGTTTGATGCTAAGAGCTGGTATATGTGTGTGGGGGTGGGGGCGGTGAGGGGGTGGGAGACTGTGTGGAGGTGAGGGATGATGCTGAAACTTACTGGGCTACATCAAATATTGGTAGCAGAGAAGTTAAGGCATGAAGATTGGTTTACGGTTAGGCACATGGAGTGGGATTCTGGGTCTAAGACAGAGAAAACAAATTAGAATGCTAGAGGAGGTTCATATAGATTTGACCACCTAGTGGTTTAGGCAAACCAACCTAAAGTTGTGTAAAGGACAGAGTTTAATCGCCCTATCAATCCTCCACTCTTGTTCAAGAAAGGCTCAGAAAAAGTTTCCTTGAACAGAGACAAGGAGAATCTCAAGTAGGAGATGGCAGAGTTAAATAGTCCCAGGTCAGGATTGCTCAGTGTTGTTCCTGGAGGACTAGTTAAACCATCTGTTTGGCATGCTGGCAAAGGTCAGTTGTTTTAGTGTCCTTCAGATCAGGCATCTTAAAAGTTGGATGCCTAAAAGGAAAAAAGAGAAATGTTAATATAAAAGGAGATCTTAATGTGAGAAAGACAGAAGTTGAACCCAAGGGTATCCATTCCAGAAGGTTTCAAGAGGTTAGTGGATGAGCCCTTTTGATCATGTAGCATTGATCTTTGAATGTTTTGATGCTCTTGGTAATGCTGCCCAGAGTCTGGGTTAACTCTTCTATCAGAACATGCATGACCTGAGCATTTCCCCATCCTTTTTTTGTGGTCCAGTCAGGGCTTGTCCAGAGAAAAACAGAACCATGCATAGTCTGCTAGCAATGATGGATCTTTATAGGTTTATAACAAGTCATCAGACTTGAGCTTGCAGTAATTCTTCAGAGCCTGGGGGCCAGCCACAAGGCAACCTAGGGTCTCAAATGGGATCTGGATAGTAAGGTTTTCTCAGTGACTATAAGTAATAAAAAAGGAGAAACATTGGAAGGTTACTTTAGGGGTTTATGACTAGATATTGAGAAAAATTGGAAGATTTGAAAATTTAGTAAAAGTGCACAATTTGTGCAAGATAACAGATTCAAGTACAATTTATTAGTAGTTACAAAAACTGGTTTTTCCATAGTGTGAGAGAAAGTCAGTTAAATCTCTACCAGAGAAGAGAGAGTCTGCATAACTATCAGTTACCTGCAGTTTACAAAGTGGCACTAAATAGCTCAAACACAAATTAACAGGATCAGAATCTGATAATCAAGAAAGATGTGCTGTGATTTCCCATGGAAACACAAATTTTCTTTCTACAGTTACTCCTCCTGTTTTGATCAAGGACAATCTCAAAGAAAGATTATTCTTGATCACAAATTACAGTTATCTTCGTTTTGATCATGACAATCTCAAAGAAGATTATTCTGATCACAAAATTCAAAGTTATCCATGAGATCTGCCTGGTTATTTGCATAAAGGCAAGAGTGGGCAAATTTCATATAGACCATACACGTTTCCTCCAATACAAAGTTTTCATAAGAATGTCAAATTGACTTTTCAAAGCCTCCTCTTGGAGGAGGCAATAAGCCAACAACTCCGCATCAAGCATTACATGCAGACTTCCATCGACTGGCGGTACCTTTCTTCATGAGATCTTTGGCAAAATATCCTAAGATTCCAGAGCCTGCCAAAGAGATTCTGCCCACCGATAAAGCTGTGAACCCTGCAAACCAGGTTTCAAGCCAGTCTTTCAAGAGGAGTTTTGTAAGATCGGCTCCCATAAGGTCAACCTTAGTTCCGTATGGTCCCATTATATCTGATCAAATAAACGTCATTCTCAATGTAGCATCCAGGCAAAGCTCATTGTATTACCAATGTTTTGTGCCCTGTTAACAAGAGACAGACTTTACTGAATCTATGCAAATACCTGAGATTACATGAAAATAAGAAGACTCCAATGAGAACTTTTGGATTTTATGGTGAGTCAGGAAGAAAAGAAAGAAGTTTCCATTTCTGTTTACTTGAGAAATCAGCATAGCCTATAAAATTGTTATGAGTTATGTTAGCTTTAAAAAAAAAAAGAGAAGGGTTTTCTTATGTCCAGAAAAGAACATAGGCTGGGCGTGGTGGCTCACATCTGTTATCCCAGCACTTGGGAGGCCGAGGCAGGTGGATCGAGGCCAGAGGATTGAGACTCAGCCTGGCGGCACATGGTGAAACCGCCTCTACTAAAAACAAAAACAGCCGGTGTAGTAGCCTCTGTAATCCCAGCTACTCAGGAGGCTGAGACAGGAGAATTGCTTGAACCCGGGAGGCAGAGGCAGGCCTGGCTGATACCATGCCGCAGCACTCCAGCCTGGGCAACAAGAGCAAAACTCTGTCTCAAAAAAAAAAAAAAAAAAAGAAAAGAAAAGACAAAAGAGAAAATAGGAAAATAGCACATTAAAGGAATAGTCTTATTCCAAAAATGTCCCATAATTATCCAGTAATGTCACCACTCCAAGTAATTAGTTCTTGTCCATTTGATCACAGATTAGTAGTCTTATAACCCATCTCTTTTCAAATTCAGAGTTCTAATTGACTCCAGTTCATATTTTGTCCCAAAGTTATTTAAACAACGTAAATTATTAGAAACTTTTACAATATACTCTAGCATAACTTCTTTTTCATGTATCTCTGAGCCAGTCCTTTCTTGCTGAACTAAGTCCTATAGATGACAAAAGACTTAAAATTGCTGGTTAATATGTTTTTGATAATTTTTGAAAGCAAAGAAAAGATCTGATGAAAGCTTGGCTATAAAAACAATACAATTCACAGAAAAATTAGATCACATTATGGAACGGCAGTTGCTACAGAAAGTTTCTAGAGAAATATGTAACATAATAATTAATTATTTTCAAAAAGGTATTATTAACATCAAATTTAAGAAAGTGGATGGGTATAATTTTTATAGAGAAAACATTTTCTAGATATACATGATCAACTGGGTGCAGGGTTTCATGCCTGTAATTCCTGTGGCTTTGGGAGGCTGAGGCAGGCGGATCTCAAGCACAAGGTCAGGAATTGAGATTAGCCGGGATAAACATGGCAAACCCCCCGCCTCTGCCAAAAATACAAAATTAGCTGGTGCGATGGCAGTCGCCTGTAGTCCCAGCCACTTGGGAGGCCGGGACAGGAGAATCCTTGAGCCTGGCAGGTGTGGAGGCTGTAGTGAGGTGAGATTGCTGTGCCACTGCATCAGTCAGCATGGACAGAGTGAGATCATCTCAAAATAAAATAAAACAAATAGTAATAAAGAAATATAGATATAATCATGAGACATAAGATGTCATAATATATCAACATACAGTTAGAAAGATACCAAGGAATGCATTTTTAGGTTAATGTGGCTACTCAGAGATTCAGCATTTGTATGGGTTTAGGGGAAAAAAATACTCAAGTAGAACAAAAATGCATTTTATAATGTGACAACTCAGAAGATATAGCTATCTGCATTTATTAAACCAATTATATCAAATTACTCCCCAATGGCCAAAGGTTTATCTAATTTGGTGAACTTGCATTTTTTAAAACATTTTGTTAAGCTTTGATAAAAATACTTTTTTCACACTGACGATGTTAGAAATTTGATTATCCTAATTCCAAGGAAGTCTTAAGAATACTTACGAGGCCTCATTCATCTCAAGCCAACCCAAAAATGAGTTGTTGTGGTGTGGATATATACTTAATGGGCATTATTTGAGGGAAGAGGAGAGAATAAATGGGTGTGTATATGTACAAACACATACATAAACATACAGGCAGACATAGCCAACTTGGCAGCTTTTAATTTTAAATTTTAGCCATGACTTGCATAATCACAGAAATGCAAACTACTGATTCATATAAAAACAGGATATTGTTCAAAGCAGTGTTTGTGCCTGTAATCAGC